TCGTATACTGGGCAATCCGTTCCAGTCATAGGCGGCGGAAGCGGGGGGACAGGTGCAACCCCCCCCCCAATGAAAACTGGAGGGGCGAGAGTATATCTTCGCCCCCCCCCCCCCAGAAATTGCTGAAAAAATTGTGCTTTACATATGGTTTTACACGTTTACACAAACTAATAAAAAAATACTATAATTATACTTCCTCATTTTACCAGAATGGGTATCCCTTACAGCAGACATGTTGGTTTCCATGAACTTGATTTATTAAAAGTATTGTATAAGTATAGTGTAGTATAGTATAGTAAAACAGTGAACGCCAAACTAGCGGAGTTCGAATGGACATGCAATCTTTTCTTGAAGTAAATCGCCCCCTCCCCACCCCACCACAAAAAAACAGTTAACACACAAATTGTGGAAGCCATATGGATAGATTACTTTTGGGTATTTATTTAACGCAGAACAGAATACACTGATATGCTTAGTATATAATCATGCGAGAACTGTGTCATGTGCATGTTTTGTGGGGGTGAGAGCAATAAAGCTGACGAATTCTAAGAAGGGAAGGAGGAGGTAGAAAAGGATTGTGCGGGTGGGGAGGAGGATATTGGGAGGGAGAAGGTCGGGTTATAAACCTGGGTAGACGATTCGGGTTGGATTAAGTTGACAGCACATATCGAGGGGAGGGGGGGGGGGGTGTAGTAGCAGCGGGCAGAGCCGTGATCAAAGGAGTGTCAGGGATCCGTAAACTAGGAGTCGGATTCAAAGAAGCTAGTTGATATTGGGGCAGGCCTCAGTGCCCTTAATAAGGATACAAAATCTTCATTACTGGCCATGGTAAGCCTGAAATATTTGGGAGAGGATAAAAAGGGTCTACTCCTCAGGATCCCCATGAGGGGTAAGGGCTAAACAATCAACCAAGGGAACACCATGCTCATGGCTCCCTGAGGCGGTTCATGACTGGTACAAAGTCAACCTTTTATCCTTTCAATTGGACAGGGAAGGTCTTCGTTTCCTAAGGTCCCCCCCCCCCCAACAAAGGGCAAGGGACTGGGGGTTAATGGTTAATGGTTAAAAGCAAGATAAATGTGCTAGACATCTAAGGTCATGTAGCACTATAGTTAATGTTAGTGAAGGGTGGTTGAGTTAGTGGTTAATTGTCTAAGCTGGGCAAAGGAATTGGTTAGTGAAAGGGTTAAGGTTAGATGTTAGATTAGGTAAAGGATATGTATGTGTTTGAGGAAAGAGAATAGGTTATTGATGCAGAAAGTGTGGGATTCTGTAAGGATGTCTGATAGGTTGGGAGGTCGGTGAAGGGAGGATAGGTGGGGGAAAGCAGAGGTACGGGCTGTTTCAAAACGTGGGCACGATAATAGGATGTGTGGGATAGAAAGGGGAACATTACATAAGGAACATAGGGGTGGATCAGATTGTGACATCAGATAGGAGTGTGTTAGACGGGTGTGTCCAATGCGTAAACGGGCGAGAGCTGTCTCCCAACGTCTGTTCCGATGAAATGGAGCTGACCAGGAGGAGATTGATAGTTTTACAGAATGTAATTTATTGGTGTGGAGTCTTGACCAAAAGGATTGCCATCGGTTATACAAGAAGGTCTTAAAGTGTGGGTAATAATCCGTGGCTGGTATACGTGAGAAGCGTGGTTGGTATGATGTGGACATAGCAGCGTGGCGTGCTAGTGTATCTGCCTGTTCATTGCCGGGGATTCCAACATGGCTGGGCACCCAGCAAAATTTGATTATTTTATGGCGTGTGGACAGGTAGAACAACCAGTTCTGGATCTTACAAACAAGGGGGTTAGTGGTGTGTATTGACTTTATGAGAGTTAATGAGCTACGGGAGTCAGTAAAAATTGTAAAAGAGGAAGAGGAGAGTGAGTATATGTGTTTTAGGGCAAAAAGGAGTGCATACAGTTCTGTAGTAAGGACACTGGATTCAGGAGGAAGGGAGTATTTGAAAGTACGAGTTGGGAATATTACTGCAAAACCAGCACCAGAGGTGGATTTAGAGCCATCAGTATATACGTGTATACTAGAGGAATGAGTGGAGACATGGTCAAGGAAATGGATGAGAAGGACAGTAGGAGGAATATTTGATTTTGGTGGGTCGGGGAAAACAGAAGAGCAAATATGGGGTTGAGGTATAAGCCATGGAGGGACGGAATGTACAGAGAACGGGAGAGGTTGGAGTTGGGGGAAAGGGGAATGGGAGAGGAGGGTATTCATGCGAGTGGAGAAAGGAGTAGGTAATCGTGGAGATGAAGCTAATAGTTTCTTCTGTGGAGTTGGTTGGGGAGTTTTGGGGGAAAGGATTTCTTATGAGGGGGGGAGGAGAGGACTGGTGTTTCTGGTGGAGGTGATTGTGTGGTTGGGGAAGAGGGGGTGGAACGTTTGTTCTGTCTGGTTCGGGTAGTGCGAGGAGGGAGGGGGGAAGGTGTTAAGGTTGTAGTGGTGATTGGAGTATCTGTAGTGGAGATGGGAGTGTCTGGGTTTAGGATGGCAAAAGAGTTTGATTGGGGAAGGTAGGATGTAGAAGTGGGGGGGTTAGATGTAGGAGGGGTGGGTTTAGGAGAAGTGGTAGAAGTGGTAGAATGGGCTGTATTAATGGAGTAAGGAGTAAGAGAGAAACCACGTCGTCGTGCTTCCTGTCTGGCTTCACGCAGTGTGAGTCCAAGTCTGAATCTGAGAGTTGCTACCTCAGATTCAAATTTGTAGGTGGGACAGCCCCTATAAAATACATTATGGGGGCCGCCACAGTTGGCACATGTGCGTGAGTTTGCAGGGCAGTTAGATCGGATATGGCCAGTTTGGGCACATAGTGGACATCTGGCTGTGGAACGGCAATGTTTGGCTGGGTGTCCTAGACGCCAGCAATTTTGGCACTGACGTGGGGGAGGTTGGTATGGGCGGACAGGGAGGGATTCTCCTCCTATGTAGACGTTAAAGGGAAGGTCATGTCTACGGAAGGTAATTTTGGCGATGTTAGTGGGTTTCTTACGATGACCTCTGGGAGGGATGGAGTAACATTGTACTGATGTCGCATCGTAGTCTGTGAGACAGGCGAGTAAGTCTTCTCCACAATCTGACCAATCTTTGTCATAGACTGGGCAGTTTTCTGGGGAGATAGATACGGTTCCAGTGCAAGTATTGAGAGTTGGATGGGGTTCTGCAAGGATAGGGTTACCATATAAATCAGTTAGTTTTGCTAATGCTATAGCTTGATTTTCTGATGTTACTGTGACAAGACGGGAGCGGTCGGGTCGGCTACGGAAAGAAACTTTACCTACTTGTTTTTGTAGACATTGTTGGAAGAGAAGGGTGTTGTCAGAGTAGGGAGCTGTGGGAGGGATCACGAAAAATCGGTCCCATTTGGCTGCACTAAAGAGAGTGTTCAAGATTGTTGTAGGGGTGGTAGAGGGGCGGGGGCGTGACGAAGATGGAGTAGTGTTGATGGAGGTAGTGTTACGGAGAGGTGGGCAATAAGGCTGTAAGGTAATAAGGGAGGATGGAGTGGTTGATGTTGGAGGTTGTGGGGGTAGAGGTGTTGAAGTTGAGCTTGTTGGGAGAGTGGAAATGTTCCTTGAGGGTTGGTTGTTGGCTATTGTACTATTAGGCATTGATGAAGGGGTATTTATTACAGTGTTCGGAGCCGTGGTCAAAGGAGAGCCTGGGGTCTGGGAATCGGGTGGGTTTTCTTCGTTGGGGCTATTTGATAAAGGGGCAAGCCTCATTGCCCCTAATAGTGGAGATAGATTTTCATTATTGGCCATGGTAAGCCTGGATGATGTTGGGGATAAAAACAGTCCACCCCTCAGGGTCCCCTTGAGGGGTAAGGGCTAGAACTAAATCAGGGGAATACCGTGCCCATGGTTCCCTCAGGCCGTTCAGGACTGGCACTAAGTCAGCCTTTCATCCTTTCAGCACGGCTCTCACACCTTAGGAGGTGGATAGCAGAAGGGTTTGGTGAAGGGATAGAAACAAAAGTGGGAAGGGAAAAAGGCCATGCATAATTAGTTGAGTCGAGGGCTGAGTCCCAAGGTTGGGGAGTTCCCATCATTGGGTCCCAGTCTCCGCCTCCTAAGCCCCCCCACGACAACAACGGGCAAGGGATTGGGGGGGAAGGGACTGGGGGTTGCATCATTAATTAATCAACATGATCTAACTAGTCAACTCTTGGACTGACACCTTCCCTCCCTCTGATATTTAGAATAGAATATTTCAAGTTGGCAATATCATTGGGTCTCTTACAGGCATAATCCCAGCCCACACAATCAAACCCTTAACGTTTCAGAAACTTGAACTGCTATTTGAAAGTCCTGAATGGCTGGGGACAACTTTTCGACCCAACCTCAAAGTAAACTGGAACTCATTTCTGCAACTCCAATTACCAAGTGAAGTTCCCATATTTGGTATCGCATTAAATTAGGCCTTCAATCAAAATGGGTATTATATTTACAAAATCAGTGGGCATAGACTACGTAATATTCAGCAAACTGGCCGTTGTGGTTTCTAGATAAACCACCCCGAACCGAGTTCCAACGAGCTCTACTGCCAATAAAGCCTGTGGACACTACTCTCCCTGGTAAAAGTTTTGGCCATGCTTGCTCTGACCGTTGCGTGCATGACCTCAGTCTTTTCAATAAAGCTGGTTGCACTTCCTTGCCCTTAGGATTAAACATGGGGGGGGGGGGGGGGGAAAAAAAAAAAGTTTCTTACTTTGAAGATCCCAAAAAGAGCAATTTATAGTCAACTCCATCAGTAGTACAAACAAGAGTTATTACATTCTTTGACAAAATTGGATCATTAAGGATCACACTACAGAGCAAGAATTACAGTGTCACCTTTGCCATTATTTTCGCTCCCTTGAAACAATTCCAAGAGGGGTTTTATTTCATGTTAGAAAACATTTAGGATCTTTCACTCGTAATACTCTTACAAATTTCTCTATACATGTAAAAAGGATAAAAAGAAAAAGAAATGGATATTCAGATCAATGTTTATTTGCAGTCAATGATGGCAACCTAACTGCTACTTCTGGACCATCCTGGAAAAAAAGCAAAAAATTAGAAATATTCATTGCTGTTGCAATCTATTTCAATTGCATTCTCTCTCAGGTGTCAAAAAGTAATCATGGTTATCATAACCCAATGCTCTGAATAAAGGTTTTCATCATGTGAAGATTTTGGGGTTAGAGTGATTGAGATCAAAAACTTTCAGGGATTATCAAAATTAGACTTGGCACCGGGCTCCCCAAATAGGCATAGCCCGGGCGAGGCTCTGCCTCGCGAATCTAAAAAAAAAAAAAAAAAAAAAAAAAAAAAAAAAAAAAATCAAAATTAGACAAGAAAACATGGGACAATTTTATGGCATGGTTATAGACCATTAATTGGCAACCAAGTCTTATCTTTCCAAAGATGCTACCAGAGAGAGAAAAAAAAAAAAAACTAAAATCATACCTTGTAGCACTGTTGATGGTCGTGTGCGAATAGCAACACTGTCTGCTTATTTTCTCACAATCATCTGAAAACAGGAACAAGGAACAAGTTTAGACTCAAAGCCAGATTCACAGAGAAATCCTACAAGAAGCATTTCAGATGTCAAAACGTAATCATGGTTTTCATAACCCAATGCTCTGAATAAAGGTTTTCATCCTGTACACAATCACTTTATAATGTAATTCAAAGTTTATATCCAATAGAAAAATGAGGTCTTACCTTTAACTTCATGTCCACGGTCACTGGTCAATACCATCAGCTTGTGATCTTCAAATACCTGGAAATAATAATATTTATCATGTTATTCTAATGTGCAACTCAGTGTCAAGATGAGCAAGAATATTTGATCAGCTGTTCCGGCATAAACCTGAAGACCAGCTAAGGAGCTAATCTCCAACGATAAGTAGCCTGGATTTTGATCTAGCGTCCTTACGACCAAAGAAACAACAATGTTAACTTGGAGATACAGAACGCCAAAAACAAACTCATATGAAACATGGTAGTCATTTCTATAAACCACATACTGAAGCTTAAATATGGAGACACAGCTTTATGTCACAAAACGTACATCTTATTTAGTTTCATAATGCAGTATGACAAGTTGTGTCTAAAACATTAAATGGCTATATGGACATGCAAAGACGTCTAACTTAATGAAAAAGTTTATTCATATAGGAGGTTTAGTCACTGTTATACAAGAAAAACTTACCAAAGCAAAAGTTAAACTTCACATCCAGACAAGCCATGTGCTTCTGTGAAAAATAAAGGCAATTCATTAATTTCCAATCATTAGCAAAGTATAATGCACCTATATTCCTTAAATTTCAGACCTCTTAAAAGAATCATTTAGATCATAAACACGGACCAAGAGGGATTACTCATCACTTCAACAATTGCTGAATTGCAAGTTGCAGCAACTTACCAATTTGACCATAAGCCCTGGACACCTTGCATTTAGCTCATGTTGGCAGCATCAAAACCTCAACAGCTTCCTGCAAAATAAAATTGCACTACAGTACATGCATAATTTTTTGCAATTATAATATCTGTTGAACACAAATCAGACCTCTTAAGAGAATCATTAAGATCATAAACACGGACCAAGAGGATTTACTCATCACAAATGCTGATGCACAAAGTCACTTTGAAATACAACATGATTTTAGTAGATTCATTAAATATAGTCAGTTTCCATATTAACACTACCATCTACATTTTTAAAAATGAAAATAAAATATATGTTTACACAGCAGGAAAACTGCCAAGATTCTACTTTATAAAAACTTTTCAAGATCATACCTTATGCCATTTTATATATATTGTGCCAATTCTGCTTGCACATTTCCTTTCACCACATCTGAAAAAGTACAAGGAACAACGGATTTTAAATTTTGCAAATTCCGATAAAGATACTTCCTACAAAGAAAATTTCAGATGTCAAAACGTAATCACAGTTTTCATAACCCAATGCTCTGAAAAAAAAAAAAGTTTCATCCTTCACAAAATATGCCACATTTTATAAGTTGTCTAATGATTGGAAGACAATCCAGTACAAAAGCAATATTTACCTTCAAGCCATGTTCACATTGGCTGGTTGAGGTCAGCCTTGAAACCAAATACCTGAAAAAGTAAAATAATGGTTAGTGATCAACACGGAAATTAAGGTCCAAGATTAGCTATGAAGGTCTATGATCAAATGTTCTGACAGAACTTTGAAGACTAATTAAAAATTCCCCAATAAAAAGTGGTCTGACTTTTGATCTAACTTCCTTACGACCAAAGGAACAAGAATGCTACCTTGGAGATACAAATTAACAAAAACAACATTAAATATAAATTACCTTGTTTAATATGCAAACTAATTGATATTAAAGACATTAAAAAGAAAATTCCAGTCAAATACATCTAGGCTATTTTACCAAATGAAGAGGTGGTAGGATGTATAAAAAATGCTCATTACAAATGAAGTATCTAAATCAATACCATTTAGTAAATTCTTCACTTTAACCCAAAACAGACGGCCATGGCATGCAAGTACACGCCAAGCCCACTGTCAGCTTACTTTATTAATAGTTTTTACACACAAATGGCTCCACTTGTACTAAGTTCCCAATGAGAATTTCAAGTACCATTTTCCTTGATTTTCAAGAATATTTTATGTTATATTGCTGTTACTAAGGTCAATTACATTTTTGTAATTATTCAAGGAAAGGTGTGTGAAACCAGGTAAGGTTACAGGGCCTTCTGACTGACTTTTGCAGCAAAGCACTTCCAGAGCCATCTATATGCAAACATATTTCATGAAAAATTACTAAATGCGCACAGCATTTTTCTGGCTACAAGGGTTAAAATGAATACATATAACAAAGAAAAACTTACCAGAACACACATCCTTTAACTTTTGACAGAAACATCAGGTCAACCATTCCCTGCAAAACACGTGGAAAATCAATAATAATATACAACATACCTCGTCTATCAGCTAATTTGTTATCAGACCTCTTTAGCAGAATCATTTAGATCATAAACACGGACCAAGAGGATTTAGTCATCACTTTAGAAATTACTGAAGGAAGGTAAGGAAGGACGGTGTACTCACCTATAAAAGTACCACTCCTGGCACCTTCCCCACAAGTCATGTTGGCACTGCAACCACACCAGCTCCTGCAAAATAAATATTTCCAATACAACATCTGCATAAAATTTCCTCCTAATAAAATGGCCTTCTTACTTCAGACCTCTTAAAAAGAATCATTTTGATCATAAACACGGACCAAGAGGATTTACTCATCATAACAGAAATTATTAATTTCATAAATGGATAAAACTAATGCCCACTTTCAATCTATGCAAAGGTTAATGGGTAGAAAATATATTAAAAATAAAAATCCATAACCCACAAGTTCAAATGAAGGGCAGTAAACAATACCCATTTCATTTAATTTAAAAAATTGTGTACACCTGTAATTAACAGCCCAGACCTCAGCAAGCCAATTGGGATTTGCTCAAAATTAAAAGGGTGCCAAATTGACACTTATAAAAAGAGGCCAAAAGATAGACCATTCTAAAATACCAGTTTCAGTCAATACCAAAGTCAGTTTACCCATTGCAAATGTAAAGCCGATATGCACTCACCATCAAAAAACTACCGAGCTCTCCGTCATTCACCAAATGAACAGGACCAATCT